TTTTCACCATGATTTCATAGGGTGGCCATACGTCCGGATTTTGTCCGGACAGTCCGGATTTTAAGCCCCCTGTCTGGCGTCCGGCGCAGCCTCAAGCCGGACACTCATTTGTCCTCCTTTTAGGAGTTGCGCTGAATCGGCCTAAAAAAACCTGCTATAGAATCTTTATTGGGACGCAGCAGCATAGCGTCTAATCCCATAAGACCTCTGGTCAAACAAATGATTGTCTGAAAGCGGTGTCAAATAAATATCTGATATATCATTGGTTGAAAACGCAATCAAGCCTCCGCGTGCTGGCTACATCATATCATAACATTAACATGCCGAAACGTCAGACCTCATTTAATCCGGAATGGACAAAAGAGCACGAATTTATATCAAAAGTCAGTAGAGACGGTTTTCGTGGACTTTGCACACTGTGTCGCTGTGAAGTGGACGTTAGTAGTCAAGGGAAACTTCTTTGTTAAGAACTGAAATGTGTATTAATATTTTTCTCATTCACTATTTGTTTATGTATTTCTGTTATTTCCACAAGTCCAGAAATGTTATGTTTTCTGGCACTGTGCACTTTGCAAGACAGGTTAATCTCAGTGGTCAGTTTTTGAAACAAATCACAATGTAAATACAAACTGTGAGCAAACACTTCTGTTACACATAGGTCTACATCAAGATATATCGTAGATCAAATTGTCTGGCAATGAATAGAGTAGCCTAAGCTATTTCAGAATCACTGTATCATGATACCATGTATCAATTGTATTGTAGTTGCGAGTACACCAGAGTCCTATGCAATTGGTCTTGCCTCACTAAATGCCGCAAAGTGTCCTCCTTTTTGGTGTTATGGAAATGGCCACCCTATGAGTTCAGCTCATGTTGGTCACTTGCATTCACCATGTTTTGAGGCAGTGACTGACTGCCAACCCATTGCAAATTCTCTAGACACGCCCAGCCTGTCACATGAGATGCTATCACAGGAAACCATGGAGAAGCAGCATCTCATATTCTCACTGCACCACTCCCTGAAGCAGGCCTACCTCCAGTCCACACAAACACTCCTGCACGCTCAAATCATGTCCTGGTCAATTATGATGATTCACACTAAAAATAACAGTGAAAGGACCAGATTATGCCAACAATCTGTCATTTAAAGTGCAAGCAGCAGCGAGCTTCATGAAGCGTGTCAGCAGCTCTGTGGGCGGCTTTATATCTGTTTGCACACTCTGACCTCGGGCTAGAGGAACAAACCGCACACCACTGACATTTGACACTTCACTGCCTGAACGAACTCAACAATAACATCAGAAACAATACGTGATTCAGAAAAGCACACATGCACTCTTGAAAAAAAAACATTTAAAACAGTGCCTTTCATTTCAGCACAAACACAAATGTTCTGATAAGGTCCTGTTTCTGACTGTTCATGGATTTCATCTCATCAGGCCCCAGTGACAACATCCCTCCCTCATCCCAAGTCTTCCTCTTTGCTAATCTTCCCCATTTTATCCAATACCTACCATAATCCAAAGGGTCAGTTTGGCACTCAGGCCGAACATCAGGACTGAATCCCTTCTGCAAGGAAAGACAGCAATCCAGAACTGTTTAGCACTTTAATCCTGAATGCAGGTGAACTCATGAAATACAGGAGTCTAAAGCTCTTGGTGATCGGATCACTGAAACCCCAAACAGAGGTCTTTAAAAACGACGTCTTCACATATGCAGTGGGAACCAGTGATGGAGTACTCGAGTCCTGGACTCGGACTCGAGTCCGACTCAAGACTCCATTCTCTGGACTCGTGACTCGACTCGGACTTGCGGACTGATGACTATACTTGGACTCGGACTCGAGAATATATAAAATCGGACTTGAGCATTCATCAAATGAATGACATTGTTTCTGACTAAATAGGTTATAAAAAAAATGATATAAGATGTTACACTTTTCCTGTTTCGGGGTCCAAGACCGGCCGTGATCTATTTTTTCCTTCACAGAAACTGCTACCGCTCGCTCTCCTTGCTTGACAACACACTCACTGACGTCACTCACTTTACGCCGCATTCTCGTGAGAGATAACGCAACACTCATTTAACCCTCAATAAGTTCCTCTACATCTAATCAGCAATTTCGATTTTGGCACGCTTTGCAGCAGCTGAGCTGACCACTAAGGAGCGAATGTACAGTGACGTGACATTTAAAGGTACCAGATTTAAACTGCTTTCGTGCTATGGCTGCACTGAGCCAAAATCAGACGCGCTCAGCGCTTAATTCCGCTTATCATACAATAACACAATTATGTTTATTTTAGCCAACAAACTAGACGGCGACCTTGACTATGTCACACATCGCAACCACTCTTTTCCTGCGGAGTTACAACTGCTTATAGCACTGCATTTTCTGTTTTTTTGCCGCAGTTACATTGGGATTTAGTTTACTTTTCAAAATTTCAAAATTGTTTTTCTTTTACCATATTCGTCAAGAAGAATGCATTTCTCCTCCTCTGTCCAATTAGGCTTTCTTTTTTGTTTTCTTTATCCATTCCAGTTGACTGATCATCCAAAAATGCATTTAAACAATTAAATAAATAATCGTGCCACAGCTATTTGACAATGATTTGATAAGGTCAAAGGCAATTCTAGTGAGATAGGCTATCATACACATTTCTAGCTGCAAGAAAGAGTGCCTGAAAAATGTTGCTTGATTTGGCTTAAGTGTATATAATTTCGACTCGGACTCGAACACGGGACTCGAGACTCGACTCGGACTTGAACTCAGGTAATGGTGACTCGACTTGGACTCTTCTTTTTGGACTCGGACTCGAACACTGGGACTCGAGACTCGACTCGGACTCGACAGTTGGTGACTCGACTACAACACCGGTGGGAACGCTATCAGTCCTGAATGTGTCCGGACCGCAGTGAAGCTCCGCCCACTCACCGAACACATGACCATCCTTATGAAAGGTGCTGTGCGGAGCATGGGATTCAAACTTCTCTGCATGAACTACAATCAGATGCACAGTTGCCCTCCGTATCCTTTTCATTCACTCACAAGCCACGCAACATCCTCACCCACTCAATGGTCAGAGGCGGCGCATGTTAATGGAGCCTTTCACATTTGCAGGGTTCTCAGAAGCAGAAGTCATCATAGTTCAGTAAACTTCTATAGGTAACACTTTGTTTAAGTGTCATTGTTACATGTAGTTACTGTAGTAATAACTATAAATCGTGCATATCTACACGCAATTAACCCTAAACCAAACCCTCGTCCTACTCCTCCTAACCCTATAGTAAGTACATTTAGTTAATTAATAATATTCAGTACTTAAATGTACAATTACAACAAATATTATATTTGCATTCTCATTTGCTTCGATAGCAAATCCGAAATCCATGATAGTGATAGTTCTATGACTTTATACAAGAAAAGAAAATCAAGGGATTGATTACATTGGTCAGAAGAGAGAAAGATGTCAAATGTGTCGTCACTCCCTGAACCGGTGCATTAATTTTTTTAAATGAACCTTTTGCTAGATTAACGATGCTAATAACTGTGGAAACACATAATCGCAGTCAGTGAAAAGGGTCTGTACCAGGAGGAAACAACTGGATCACTTAATCGGATCACCATAACCCAGACCTCGGTGTCCTGATGGTGTGCTGCGCTTCAGTCATCTAACAAACAACAGCTCAAATGCTCTTTCTTCAGGACATCAGTGTGGGACTTCCAATGGCCTGTTGTGAGCGGTGTTCCCATTACGATCCACAGGTTCATTTATGAATGAGGTGTTGTTATACCACAAAGTAGACGTTTCACCCGCAATATTCCACATCTTTCGGTTATAAACTCGTGAATGTGGAGCGAGGATCCCAGGGCTCAGATTACACTGAACTGAAGTGCATCATTCTGCGTATGGGAAGTGTGTAATTGGTTTTGTGCCGCTCTTTATCTGAGCTTATCTCAGAAGGCCGTTGATAGGGAACGAGAGGTTATTAGGTTAAATGGTTATTGTTGAATATCTGCAGTTACCCTACTGAAGAGCAGTGTTTAGTGTGCTTAAATCAGGAAGAAACGCATTGACTGGTCAATAAAAGACATTCATAGGTGTCATTCCTTCTGTAAACACGCAGATCCGTGTGGGAGGATCAGGGATCCATCATCCAGTCCTAAAGAACCCATGTTTGATCACACGCGTCACTTCTGTTCACCATGTTTGATGAGCTCATGTATGTTTATATGTAAATAAAACCTTAAAATAAACCTGTTCATCATATGAAGCGACCTTGTGTCTTCAGAAGACTTGGATTAACCGCTTTAACAATAAGTTTTTCATTCACTTTTGGAAGCATTAATCGTTTGGTTGAATGGACTTTAAATGAATGGACAGAACTTAATAAAAAAAATTAAGATTTCAATACAAATTTTGTTGTAACTGTTCAACTTTGTTTAGAGACCCAGACCCCTGGCCACGAGTTCTTCTTATAATCTTAAATATTCATAAAGCAAACTGTAAACGCCTTTGATCCAATCAGGTAACGTTACCAGTTGGCCAACCGACGTCGAATTATTAATATTCATGATCGAGCCTTTTCCATAGTAGGCTACTATACTATACTACTACTATACTGACACATTCGCATCCAGAGGTTCGCCTCGCTTCCTACATAAGCACGATTTGACTTGAACATCCCGAACTTTCCAGCTTATTATTTGAAACACAAATAGATCGCCTATATGGCGGATGCTGATGATGTCCGTGACGAGAGTCGCTCGTGCAGATCAGTGCATTGGTCCTTTCAGAGTGTTTATCGGAGAAATAAAATTCATAATATGACTGTGATCTGCTGAATCCTGAATCATTAATTCCCCGTAACTGCACTGTTATAACTGTGGTACTTTCAGTTTTGCGCGACGGCGCGCGCTCTTTGTTTACGTCCAGCGCGTGCAGCAGCAGCACGAGCTCTGCTCAGATGATGATGTACAGCAGTTCGACATCGACACTCACCCATCGTTCAGTTGTGTAGTTTCTCCATAATGTGCCATGTGCGCGACCATTATTCGCACGCCGAAAGCTGTTGGTTCGCGCGCCAAATGTTTCCGTGACGTGATATTTGCAGATAAGAAACTATAAACCCAGTCAATGCTGAGCCCATCCACACATACACTCACTCACTCACTCACTCACACACACACTCACTCACTGGTGTTTGTTTCCGCGACTGGCAGCAGCAGGAAGTGGCGGGAACTAAGCTTGTTTACAGCAGATGTCCATTATGGAAGACAATAAAGGCAGCTTAAATAATAAACAAAATTGTTTAATATGCAAATTAAATAATTATTTTAAAAGGAATTATGTGGGTTATGCAAAACCATGTGGGTCTAACAACAGACCCCTGGGGGCCAGTGAAGGTCTTGGTAGTACAATATTGGGCTGTTTATGTTTTTGTACGCATTGTCTCTCAAACTATATAGTTTGCCCACCATTGTCTGCAACAGATGAACGTTGCTAGGATGGTTTCAGTTGGTACAGTGTTCTGGCTGGTTGCTAGTTTAGAAGTCAAATGTTTAGAAGTCAAGCCTAGTTTAGAAGTCAAGCCTCATCCTGCGTAAACACTCAGTAATTGAAAAAGAACAAATAAAAAATTAGCAATTGCAACAAACAGATACAACTGAACAAATATACGATTGAAATAAAGATATTCAGGTTCAGAAATTGTAATCAAATGTAAAATAACACTGCACTTTATAAATAAAATATACATTAAAGATACAGTTACAAAAGTTATTCAGTCAAGAATTAGTGAATTTTCTCTTTGTCTTTTGTTGTTTGTTTAATGTTATTATAGATACGGCTGCTGCTGTCACTTTAAGAGTTGCCCAATATAGTTACACATGCCTGCAGCACTGAAAGCCGCGCTCAAGTCGTCTCGCACTTAAATGGTTTAAAATCCCATTTAAATGACATTTTCTGTGAGCGCGCTTTGGATGTGTGTGCAGCACAGAAAACAGCACGCGAGTCGTCTCACGGTTGAAAAGTCATATTGAAATGCTCACAAAGAAATCGATAAGAGGACTCGAAATTTTAATTTTATAACAAGTATCTGATTCCTGACTTCAAGTATTCGATTCCAGAATTGGAATAGATTTTCAATTCCCAACCCTACTTTCTAGTGTTAAATCATGAAGAAAGCCCTAAGACGAGAGCACCGAAGCCCCTGTTGAAGCCCAGATTGTAAAACCTTACAAATGTGTGCGGTGAGGACCAGCCTGCCACATCACAAACATCTTGAAGTGAAACTTCTGACAAGAGAGCCTTAGAGGCAGCCATACTCTTAGTGGAGTGGGCTCGGACTGTCATAGGGGAAGGCAGTCTGATCGACTTATAAGCAAGAGAGAGAGCCTTGACTAGCCACTTGCTCATCCTCTGCTTAGATGCTGGAGACCCTTTGCTAGGAGAACCAAAACAGATGAACAGTTGTTCAGATTTATGCCAAAGGGCAGCTCTGTGGACGTAGGCCTCCAATGCCCGAACCGGAAACAGCAGATTACTTTTTTTCTGGTCTGAATCCTGGAATGGAGGAGGACAGAAGGCTTGCGGTTCAAAAGATCTGGCCACATTAATGGGGACCTTGGTAATGTAACCTGGCCTAGGGTGAAGCAACGCCTTTACCATTCCGGGCGCAAAGTCCAAGCACGAAGGGGCAACCAACAGAGCTTGCAAATCTCCTGTCCTTCTAAGAGAAGTGATAGCTAGGAGGAACAACATCTTGAGAGTCAGAAACAGTAGGCTTAAAAGGAGCCAGGGATTGGCCTTGGAGCACCACGGCCAGATCCCATGCCGGTACCCTAGTGCGTACTGCAGGCCTCAACCTCAAAGTGCCACGGAGAACACGTGTTACCAAAGGGTCTCTCCCTAAAGACATACCACCCACAGGAATGTGGTAAGCAGCTATGGGCGCCACATAGACCATTAAAGTGGACAGAGATAACCCTGCAGCGAACCGCTCTTGCAGGAACTCCAGCACTGTTCCAACCGGCCAGTCAATTGGGTCTAGCTGACGATCACTAAACCAAGAAGTGAAAACTCTCCACTTCAGGGCATAACATTTTCTTGTGGAGGGAGCTCTGGAGTTAAGGATGGTCTCAACAACCTCAGTTTAGAGACCAGAAACTATGAGCTGGGCCCCCTTTAGAAGCCAAGCCCACAGCTTCCACAGTTCTGGGCAGGGGTGAAGTATTGAGCCCCCTATCTGGGACAAAAGGTACCTCCTGATCGGAATCTCCCAAGGAGAGCCATTGAGGAGAGACACAAGATTCGAGAATCACACTTTGCCTGGCTAACGCGGGGTGTTCAAGGTGAGACGGACCTGGTCCCGGCAAACTCTCTCCAGAACTCCCGGGAGCAGAGCGATCGAGGGGAAAAGCGTACAGACGTAGCCTCGGCCACGTTTGGACAATAGCATCCAGTCCGAGAGGAGCTAGATGCATAAGGGAAAACCAGAGTTGACAGTGAGACATCTCTCGAGATGCAAACAGATCCACTTGTACCTGGGAGAACACCCTCCATATTTGTTCGAGCCTCCATTCCCCAGTCCTCAGCCCCTGTCTCGACAGGATGTCGGACGAGCACATGGTGGCCCCTGAGTTCTGTGAGTAAATTCTTGAGAGCAAGAAAGAAAGCCATCATTTCCAGACAGTTGATGTGCCAGTAGAGATGATGCCCCCATCCACAGACCTTGAGTGACCCTCTACGATCGTTCCCCATCCCGTGAGGGAAGCATCCGTCGTTAGCGTCTTGCGACGACAAAGGGCTCCCAACACGGGGCCTTGGGATAGGAACCAGGATTTCTTCCACATTACCAAGGCATGTAAGCATCACCGCGTGACCTTGATCCTGCAAAAAGGATTGCACTTTGGGGAAAACCCCCTGGTCCTGAGCCACCACTGTATGGGTCTCATGTACAACAGGTCAAAAGGTTTTTTGTTGGATGCTGCCGCCATCAGACCCAACAGTCTCTGAAACTGTGACAGTGAGTGACTAGCCTAGTTTTAGTCAGTTTATGGCTGACATGATTGACTCGGTGCGCGCAGGTGAAAGACATGCTTGCATCATAGTTGAATCCCATACCACACCTAGAAAAGTGTTCCTCTGTGCTGGAGAAAGCATACTCTTTTTGGCGTTTAACCTCAACCCCAACCTTTCCATGTTGGAGAACGAGAACGACATCTTGATGCCGAACCACTAACTGATGCGACTGAGCTAAAATCAACCAATCGTTGATGTAGTTCAGAATGCAGATGCCCTGAAGACACAGTGGCGCTAGTGCTGCATCCATGCATTTGGTGAAAGTGCGGGGTGATAGAGCTATACCAAATGGAAGAACCCAATATCGGTATGCTTCGCCTTCACACGTGTTTCATGACGCAATCACGCAGAGCGTTTCCACAGTGTCAATCGACGCAGCTCAAGTTGCCTTTAAAGGGAACTCATTTCGGCCACTTGTCCCCGCAATTGCAATCCTCCTCATTCTTTCGGTCACTACCCAGAACTCATGCGAACTGGATCTTGGTAGTTGAATTTGTTTGTACGTTCTAATTCTTGCATTGTATTTCCTGAACATTTACCCCTGAACACTTTCCTGAACATTACTAAATTTCATAGACAAGGCTTGAGTCTCAGACTAAAATGCATGTTTGAGCAGTTTGAACTGAAATCAACTTAACACTTGTTTTGTCTCAAGATGCACACCAATAATGTTTTTTCTAAGGCACGTTTAAAAAAGCCACTTAACTCTTTCCTCGTCAGCATTTATTTTTCTTTTCCCAGAACATTTTGTTGTATGAATATCTGCACATGCAATATATCAAAATAAAGAACAGACCCTCTGCTTTTAAACAAAAAAAAACCCTGTTTTATTGTAGCTTAATGCATTCTTTTTTTATCATCACCTGTATGTGGGTGTTTCATAAAAAAGCAACATTTTAAACAAAAAGCTGAGAAAATCGTGTTTTTGTCCGAACGTCATTCTGAATTTTAACTTTCCATGCCTCTCCACAAAGCAAATGCTCCTCAACATTTTTCCCTTAAATAAGCAAAAGTGTCACGGGCTGGCTGAAACAGGCACGGGAAGCAGGTTCACAATTACTAGCTTTAATTTTCACGAACAGGATCAAAGAAACAGGTAAGAACTGAACAGAACAACCAGGCAAAATGCAACAACGACCGACAACGAACAGACTGAAACACAGGCTTAAATACACAGGGAACAGATTAGGGAAACAAGACACAGCTGGGGCAAATGAACTAATAATGACAGGTGGACAGGTGAATTAACTAAACACTAACTAACTAGGAGCGGGAAACTGGTAACAGGACTGAACCAAATACACAAAGAATGGTGGAAACACAGGACATACATATGACAAAAAGTAGGCTAATGAATGTTCTAAGTACTGCCTTATAACAGAATTGGAGACAGCAGATCCATTTAGTTCAGGGATTCCACCATGGCCACTCTTCCACTTGCTGTATACTGGCAGTTGTCCATTTTTTGTAGGAAGCCTTGAAGGAATCTTTGGCAATGATGAAACTGTCTTGCCGAGTTACAATCATGTTGCCAAGCCTGGCATTTTGTGCATCTTCTTTAAACTTCTCTGTCAAAGTTGTTACCTCTTCCTGATCAATTTTAAACGGTCCAAGAAAGCTTGCTCCAGCCACACCTTCCTCTTCCTGAATTTCAGTGCTTCTTGTTGTTGATAGAAAGAGGGATCTCAAATACTCACGTGTGCTCAAATTTTGCATTTGATATGAGTGGCCACACAGCAGCATTCTGGTTTGTCCCTCCCATAACTGAACTTTTATATGTCTAGTTATGTCTCGTACATAATCCCGTCTGGGTCTCCACATTTACACCCCAAACCTTCACCATTTCAGTTTCAGTTTAATATAGTACACATTAGGGATGCCACAATTCTCAATCTAATATTGAACCGTTCGGTACGACATCCACGGTTCAATACGTGCTTGTGTAATATTATTGATCCGCCTTACTTAAGGTGGACGTTGACGCAATTTTGTTTTAGAAACAAACTTTGTTGTATTATTTTCATGTTATCACTGTGAAGCTGCTTTGATACAATCTGTATTGTAAAAAGCGCTATATAAATAAAGGTGAC